GGCCACCCTGGCATGGGCAAAGCAAAGGCATTACATGTAACCAACATGTTTGCACCCTCATGATATTCTGAAATAGAAAAAAAAAGAAAAAAATGTAGAACAATTGCACTGTGAAAAAATAGAAAATACAAAAAAAGAAAATAAATTATAATCTATAATTCAGGGATTGTCATCTTTAATGTTTTAGGACTATATGCTTCTTTTTAATAAAAAAAATTATTACATTAAAAAACTGATAGAACCTAAAGAATAAATAGAAAAACACACAGTTATAGTTGGAGACATCAACATACCTGATAGAATAACCAGACAGAAAATCAAAAAAGATGCAGAAGAACTTAACAACATCAACCCAAAGGATCTACATCTACATACTACATCTTTTCTCACCATAAACATCTCTAACATCATAAGGTCTTCCAAATCATGTGATCCCAGCAGCAGGCCTGTTTACACCACAAGCTGGATCTACTGCAAAGCGCTTTCCTTCATAGGCCCCACTCAATGACAACCTTCTGTGTCACTAAATATATGGTCCGGATCAATATTCCTAGATGAGGAATATATTGCCTCTAGAACTATTAATACAAAAAGGCCCACTATGTATGCACTTCAGTTTTTGTGGTAAGGGAGTCAGAATGCATTCAGTGTGTTTTTTACTTTGGAGGGGATATCTTAGCATACCCCTGACCACCAGTCCCCTAAAAACATCACTGACGTTTTCTTCATAGGACTCCTAAAACCTCCACTGAAAATCCAGGCAGGTTTCTGAATCCTTGTAGCATTTACCTCCCGCCTTCAGGAGTACACATCTTACCAAGGCCTCCAGTGTACCAGCCACCTCTTGGTCTACCTGATCAGCATAATGTCATTAATGTAATGGATCAGTGAGATACTCTGTGGGATGATCGAGCAGACCAGATCTCTGGACTATATTATGATGAAAGGTAGGACAGTTAACATAATCCCGAGGCAAAACTTTTTAAGTAAACATTGTCTGCCCCACATGAATACAACTGTTTGACCTTTTCCGATTGGGATGGAAAAGAATGTGTTTGCCATATCAATGGCTACATACATGGCCGTGCTTTGCTGATGATGTGGGGCTACTATTCAATTACATCTACAGTAGCCTTGCAGTCCTTTAGGTCTTTAATGATGGCACTAATCTCTGCCACCCTCCCTTGATCCTACAGAATGTGATGATGCTTTTTATTATATCTTGGCTGTGAAGAGAGGAAGGAGTTTTAGACATTTCCACTTGTCCTTCCTCACTATAACTCTTACTGCATAGAACAAGCATTGGATGTGGAGGTACTCCAACTGCCAGGTATATCAATTCCAATCATATACCTGTGGACGAGGGGGTGACCATAGGGTAGGTTTCTAGACCCAGTGGGCCCACTGTAAGCCAGACTTTAACCAGGATTCCATTTATCGCCTGCTCCCTAGAAGCCCCCACTCTAATAGAGGTGCCATGAAGATGCTTTCGGGCTCCTGGTACCAATGTCAACTCAGAACATATGTCCAATAATCCTGGGTATTCCTCTTTCCTCAAGTATCCCAAGAAAGTGACCCCAAGTCTATAAATCATTTCTACAGTCTTATATTTTTAGCCTCTTTGATTAAGTACCCTCAAAAATCCCAAAAACTGATTTAATTGACAGAGCCCCCTTGCTCATGCCAATACATGTGAATTCTTAGAGCTCTTTCCTCCCTTATTTGGCTCAACATGTTCCAGTTTGGTTACACTGAGATTTAACCTCAGTCATGGCCTGGTATCCAGGAAAGAAGGCGAGGGCAGCTCCCGAGGAGGCACCTGTTGCCCTGAAGGTGCAGGATTTCTGATTTGCCTTCCAGCATAGAGAAGAATGAGGCACCTCTGCAAACTCCAAGAGCTCAGGGGAATCCACCATATATTGCTATTACACATTCCAGAGACTCCAATTGTCCTTACCTGGGCCCTGACTTTGGCATAGCAGACCTGCCTTGACTGCCCATTTTGTACATCTCTGGAGCTCTGCATCTCTACCTACTAGGTCTTGTTTGCCACTCCCTAGATCTGCTTTCCCACTGCAGCAGATAACGGCCTTTTTATAAACTACTAGAGAGACCCTCTGGCTCTCACACTTATTCTTTAACTGCTTGCTAATAAACATCTGTTTCTACTATCCTCTCAGCAGGGCATTTACAGGACTTAACAGTAGTTAGCCTAGTGAACTATCTGTGAAGGTGTTATTCATCCATATTTTTCAAATGCCTGTGTCTTCACACCTGCAAGAACATTCCCCTCAACTAGGAAGATTTCCCAAATCACATCAGATGAAATCTTTAAAAATAGGACCACCGCCACATTCCAGGTACCATCCATGCCACATGCCACACTTACCACTCAGGAAGGCAGCTCTTTGACAGCTAGATGGCGAATAACCAACCCAGTGCCCCATCTTACTGCCTACTTTCCCAGACCATTCCTGTCACCGCTTGTCTTAGTTTGGATCCTCCAGAGACCAATCCCAAAGCAGAATGAGATGTGCAAGGTATTTACTGGGGAAATACCTGTGAGGAAAAATTGAGAGGGAGCCTGGGAGAGCCAGTGCACCATGATAGACTGGACTCTGTAGGGACGAGAGGGAAGGAAAGGTCTTAAACTGTCTCTGGTGCAGTTCTAAGAAAGTTTCAGCAAAGCAAATGGAGACTCCTAGGCCTGTCTTGCAGAAACATGCCTGCCTTAAAATACTTGCCATGCTTAATCACTGGCAAGGAGCAACTTTCTGGGAAGAATGGCCTCATAAAAATGCAGTAGTCTATTCACAATGCAACACAGCCAGGCCATCAGTCAATTATGCCCCCGTAGTAGGAAATGTGAGAAGTGTATTTTCAGGGCTGACATAGATATGACTCAGGAACTTGAATGCTCTCCAGTAGCATACCACTGCCTAGCCAAGCATTCACCCTATAATAAAATGCTGCACTAGTGCAGTTTCCCCTCCACTCTCAGGGTTTTCAGTCTCCCTACTACCAATGGATGTGAAAATATCCTGAATTTAATTAGTTCCTATGCCAAAAGATCTCACTGGTTTTTCCTCATAATTCCACAGCTCACCTGAAATCTTTCAGGTGACCTGAATAAATGGCTAAATTATATTTGGAAATACTGACATTATTCCTTCTCTATTCTGTATTCACCAAAATCTTTCATTCAAATCACTAGAAGATCTCTCCCCTCCCCTCCCCTCCCCTCCCCACCTTACACAGCTAAGCATAAAACACCCACTGCAGACCCCAAAATAGAAATTGCCAATGGGATAAAATAAAATGCCTTCAGTCTAAGAAGCAGAGGAAAGGGAAAGTCAGGTATAGATTTGGTGAGTGAGTGTTCCTACTCATGAAAACCAGACAAAAGACATTCTGGGCTGGAGATGAAGAAAAGGCAGGACCACATAGTAGTCTGAAGTCTTTAATGACCCCTGCTGGAATTACAGAACCATAAATAAGTCACAGTATCAGTTATGTGTCAGCAAGCAAAAGTCTTATTATGTTTATTATGTTCTATTTAACAAAACAGATTTTATATATTTTCACCAGAAATTATTAAACAAAAATGAAAAGATTGAGAACAAATATTTAGAGACTTCATTTCAATGGGAGTCTTCATTACTCCCTGGTTCTAGAACATTATGACAAAGTAAGTTTGCACCCTGCATTAGACTTGTATTTTAAATCTAATAAATATTGACATACCTAATAAAACAGACTACTTTATTGTGTTAAGTTGTATAAGTCACACAAATACAAATATACATTAAAGCAAACCTAAAATCTTCATTGATATTCACCACAAAACTTTATGCAGCATAAATTACAGTATAAACATGTCTCATTTTGCTATGAATTTAAGTTGTGTAAGCTAAACTTTGAAGCTTCACCAACAAGGATTTAGCAGCCTGAAAATTTACCCAAAATACTCCAAAGAAGTTGTATGACCCTTTGTGGAGAACTTTAGACCCCACAGGGCAAGCAAGACCTAGGCCATTTGCCCAGGCACTGTGTCCTTCATCTGGAAACAGGTAGATTTGGTAAACAGTTACTAGAAGAACATATTAACATAAATCCTAGGCTATTATAGTCTCATGAAGTAATTAAGTTGTAACCAGAGGAAGAAACAAAACTATGAATTATTTTATAGTCCTTATACCTTATACTATTTCATGAGAATTTTATATATTGCCACTCTGTAATACCTTTGTAAGAGAATTGAGGAAGCCCACACTCTCAATGTCCCCTAAAAAGAATGGATGCTGGCACTGTTACCCTTCTGGTTATAAAAGAAAAGGACTTGCCACGTCAAGGGGAAGAAGCAACCAGTGTACACAGAGTTTGGCTATGGACAAGTCTCTTTTAATTTTCCCCTTCTAACTTTCCAGTTCTTCCTAGGTCTTTGATTCAATTTAAGAAGAGAAATCGTACCAGCAAAAAGCAGAAAAACTGGTGTAGGTAAGTGTTGATGACTACTTAATATAGAGTAGAAAATAAAGAGACTTCATTGAAAAGCATTTCTAAATGATTTTCAGAATTCTAAACCTTCCATTCATTGACTTAAAAAGAAAGTATCTGTTAATTAGGGGACTGGCAAGGTGAAGGGTAACTCCTCTGATCTTTGCCCAAAAATTTTCCTAAAATACTGTATTTATAATATAATGTATCCATATTGTAAATGCATACATTTACTAAGTTCCCTTTGGATGAAAAGATGGCTTAAATAATTATCATTTTAGTTGTTTTGTTTTATTGAGACAGGGTCTCACTCTGTTGCCCAGGCTAGTGTACAGTAGCATCATCATAGCTCATTTTGCAGCCTCAAACTCCTGGGCTCAAGCAATCTTCCTGCCTCAGCCTCCTGAGTAGCTGGGACTACAGGTGGATGCCACTACACTGGCTAATTTTTCTATTTTTTGTAGAGATGGGGTCTTAATATGTGCTTAATATGTGCTGGTCTTGAACTCCTGGCTCAAGCAATCCTCCTACTTTAGCCTCCCAGAGTACTAGGATTACAGGCATGAGCCACCGCACCTGACCCTATTAGTTTAAACACCCAAAATAATTGTTGCTTTGCAAATTATAGGGTTTTTTTCCATAAAATAATTGAGAAGTTTAGAAAAAGTGAGGAAGCTAAAAATAATTTAGATGAACTCAAGTTTAATTTAAAATAGTTACATCTAAAAGAGATGACTAAAGCAGTGGTTGTAGACTTGGTAATAAAAGGAGAAAGTTGGCAATTATAAATGCATACAATTGTATTATTGATAGGCTAATTTAAATTTTATATATAAATTTAAAAGTATATCGAATAAGTATTAATTCTGAAAATAACACTTGCATACATATGATAATATTTAACTAAACTTCTTATTAAGTTGCAAAGGAATACTACTAATTTATAAAGAAGGCAGTTTTTCTATTCAACTATTAAAGTCCAATTACAACAAAGCACACCAAAATTAACAAATAATTATGATCCAATTTAATGTTTCATCTTTGAACTCTTCATAATGTTCTCTAGGAAACAGATCCAAAGATATGTTAATCCTAAATAAAAGATGACAAAATTGAATCTTGTTAATATAAAATATCATAGTCAGTAGTCACTGTAAAATTTTAACATTTCTAAGATTATAAAGCAACAGTTAGACACTCCCTGTACTTAATTGTGTTAATGACTTTTAATTTCTCTGGTAGACCACAAAAAGCTTCTGATGGACTTAATATGTTATCATATAAAATATGAGTTATCATATTTTTCTTTCCATTCCAACTCTTGCCAATACCCTTGGTGACTTAAACAGCCCCATTTACAAAAATTGTGTTAGAAAAATATTATATCATAGGCCTTCATCTCCAGACCACTTCGCCACTAACAGCAAGGCCATTGCTTAGACACTGTCATCACCTGGAACTCGTGCTTTACTTCTAGGTGCTGGAACTCTTAAAATATGTTCTTAGCAGACATATTCCATACTCCTACTTTTTGTATCCATATACTCTCACTAAGCAAGGTTGTTGTCCTCCTTTGAACTGTCAATGCCTTGATCTCCTGCGAACTTCATTAGCCTCCCTCCTTAGCCCCACAGTCGTCTCTCTCATTACTCCTGATTAAGTCCCCAGAATCCCAGACTCTGAAATTGCAAATTCCTCTGCATCCTCGACATTGTCTAACATTCTGTACTCAGTCCTCTCCTCTTTCTGCATTTTTACATTGAGGTGTTCATCTATAGCTACTGTTAGAACTACATCTGACATTTATGCAGTATAGATATTACACTAGCTCCAATACAGCATTTCCAATTACTTGCTTGGAATTTTCACCTGGGTACCTTACTATTACCTAAAATTCAACATGCCAAAAATAAAACTCAGTACTTTCATAAAATAAGTTATTTCTCATGACTTCCTTATTCTTATTTATTCATTCTCAAACTCAGTATCATCTTTCCTATCTCCTACATCTAATTGTCTCCTCTCGGCCCCCTCTACCACCCTCATTCAAATGGATTTCACTTTTGACTTGGACTGCTATTACAATTCCCAGATTTTCTTTTTCAGCTTCTGTTTCATCTCCATTCCAAATCTTTCCACAAATGACATCAGATTCTTTCTAAAATGCAGATCTGATAGCTCCACTGTTTTAAAATGTTCTATATATTCATGAAGAACAAGATATTTACATAGCCTTTCATTATCTTTCCATGAAATACTTATTAATTACAAAAGAAAAAATAGTAACTACAAATGGATAACAACCAAAAGATCAAAATTAACATCATCAATAAGGTATCAATGAAGATCGCACAACTCAAGATGTGATACTCTGTGAAGGAAACATTAATTATGTAACATTCTAGCATAAAATACAAAACATGAACCAACTCATGAGAAAGTATCTAAAGGTTTTATATTGATGTTAAAATTTTCTGGATTTGGTAACTGCAATGTGGTGAGATAAAAGATAGCCTTGATTTTAGGATATAGACACTAAAGTATTAAAGGGTAATGCTTTATACACACACAGAGAAAATGAGACTAAAACAGCAAATGTGCAAGATGTTAAAAATTAGTGAATCTTGGTAAAGGGTATACTGGAGTTCCTTGTAAATTATTCTCACAACTTTTCTGTACATTTGAAATCATTTAGTATAAATGCTTAAGAAAGTGTTCCATGTTTCTTCATTCTCTACTGAACCCAGAACAAATCCTCAGCCCAACATTCAAGTGAGACTCTTTAAAAAACAGTCTTAGTATAATTTTATATCTTTCTTAAATTATTTCCTTAAATAATCTTTAATCAAACTGTACATTCCCTAAACATTTTTTGAACTCCATGAATTTGCTCATGTTCTTGGCTAAAATATACTCTCCTTCTCACACTCTCACTTATAAAAGACTAATTTCTCTTTTCCAAGGCCTATCTTACCTCTTCTACTACTTAAAAATCCCCCCCACTGGATGTGATCTTTCCCTAACAGTTGAATGAACCCAGGTGATTAGTGAACCACCGGCACAATTGATAACAAAGGGGAAAAGATGATATGCTCAGTTTAAAACCAGTTTCATGATCAGAGGTGAGTGGTGTAATGGAGATTTAAGGGTCATACACCCAAGAAGAGTAATTGAAGCAATAAAATCTGTGCATTAACTCATAATGAACATGCAAAAAGAGAATAGGATCAATGAATAGCATTCATTTTTAGGTGGTAGCAAAGGAAACAAATTTAAAAACACAGAAAACGTGGTCAGTGAGGCCGGACGAGAGCCACGACACAGCCTGCAGGACACTGAGAAACACTGTGAAGGAGCAGTGGTAAGATAGTATTAAATCTGATAGCACATTCAATGAAAAGAGAACTAAGTAGAGATATGAACAAGAAGAAGAAAACACGAATTGTGGAGAAAGCAGTTTCAACAGCACAATGGAGACAGGGCCCAAATAAAGTTCTAAATGTCAACAAATATTGAATGTGCCAAACACTAAACATAAGGAAGGAAATAGGCTGGAATTAGCAATGGGTATATACTAAGGGTTGGAGAAGGTGGGATATAAAAGGGAAGGGAAAAAATCTATACTTTGTAATTATTATCTAAATGAATTCTTACCAGAAAATGTTAAGAAGATTCATCTTGTATAATTGGAGCCTAGGAACAACATAAAAAATAAGGAAAATTCAAGTTGGCCTCTAGCACAGGTTTTCCCATTAATAAATACATATTAAGAATAAAAGTTATATTTTAAAATGATAATTATTAACTTTATTTAAAAAGTTGTATTATCTAGTTTAAAATTGTAAGGCAAAATAATGAACTAAAAGGATATCTTCTTTTAACAAGAGGCTATTTTTGAAAAACACAGCATATTATTTTAAGTTGTTAAATAATCCTTTCAAGATTACTTTACACTTAGTAGAAGGCCTCTAACTGAGGCACAAAAGAAACCAACAAGTTCAAAGTTACACAGTGATCTGGGTTAGCACTCAGAGAAAAGTATTAGTTTTTCACATACTGCTCTGCCTATTCAAACTCCTTTTCATTTAAGAAAACTTTGACTACTTTTCTTCTTCCTAATCCTTCCTCCCAATTCATTCTCCTTATTAATTAGATAAGAAAAGTAAAAGAGAATATTATTAATCTGAACATTTATTTATATGCCATTATTATAAATAATTTGTGCTATTAGTGATACAATATTATATACGATAAGTTTCCATTGTTAACACTGCTTATAAAATGGTACTGTTTTAATAATTATCTTATGAAAATATACTTCACAAAATTAAATACTGCAGGTTTACTATCAAATAGAAGCTGCAATCAAGTGACTATACTAAGAACTCAGACATTCATAATAGTATGTGTATTAGGATGTGCATATGAAGGACAAAAAATAACTTGTGATTTATCAATTCATATGGAACTATAATTAGAAAAATTTTATCCAATGTAATTTTTTGAGAATCCAGAACTACCAATTATTTTAATAAACACACTAGACTATGCCTAATTTCACTCTGACCACAATATCAACTCAATACTGATGCAGCTTTGGAACATGATTTAATTCATGAGTTGTCTTCCAGGAATGAAATAATGACACCAAGGCCATAACTCAAGTACAGATTTTGTTAAATGCATTAAATTAGACTGCAGGGTCCATGGAAAGGAAATGACTACATGAAGTGACACAATGTATAATTTTATATTGTAGTTAAAATGTTTCTCTTCATTAGTATGGATGAACTTTATAATTTTTATTTAAAAATTGGCATTAAAATTCACATTTAACAGACAAGTATGTTCCCTTTGCACAGTAAATTCCAAGCAACATGCACCTTCTGCACTCATCCGTCACACCTACACCCTTGCTCTGCTCTACACTCCCTGCTTGAAGGTGCTCTGTACTTTTAATTATGATGAACAATAATAATATGGTAGCCTCATTCCTATAGTTATGTACACTGAATGTGACAATCAGGAAAACTACTGGTCGCATGTGCCCCCAGGATAACTAAACTATCATAGAGGCCACTGTTCTTTCATACAATAAAAACTGTGTTAACTTACCTTCACTGGATAATCTTTGGCATTTCAGCCTGAGTCTATATTTTTCATTTTCTTCAAGCATTCTAGAAATGATTTTGTATACTCTCTTCCATACAGAAACCTTAAAAAGATAAGCGCAGTTAAGGAAGGCTGAGCAGAAAAGTAGAAATGTATTTTAATGGAGGCAACCAGGGGAGTGACAGCTGTGTTGTATGAAAATTGACATAATCATTATAAAACAATATTAGCACTTAGAGAACTAAAACTTAAATGTAATTGTTTCTTTGCGATCACTGCATTCTCTCTCTTTTTCCAATTTCCTGGAATTTCTTCCCTGTAGTATTTAAATTAACCGCCCTAGATGAAGTTTCCTTTTAGAGGAAACTGTAGACTCTACTGTCTATAGAGTCTTACCTAAATGGTTCCAATACATTCAGTTTTTAAAGGTAATTAAAAATAGTGAATTTCTATTCTGATGTCTAAACCACTGAGCAATGATTTGGTTTTTTAATGTATTTTAATTATTTATCCTAGGATGTACCAAAGCAAAATTACAAGAACATAAATATACTAGAATAAAAAGAATAAAGACTATGGAATTAAACAGTCTAGGCTCAAATTCTAGCTTTGCTACTTACCAGTTGCTTTACATCAGGCAAGTGTTTTAATCTTATGTAGGAATAACTTCATATATTGGATTATTAGAATTAATGAAAAATATATATGCAAAGCACCTTATCCCAGTGTCTGGCACAAAGTAATTAAAAGTAAATATCAGCTATTGCTCTTTTCTCCTCAAAAAACAACTGGCTCTTGGAAGAAATATTTCTTAGTACAGTGGAAAGTAGATGCTCACTCAAAACATATTTGGTGCAAGGGTTAGTGACCTTGAATACTATTTCATACCATATATGGATTATAAATCAAACTCAAAGCCCAGAAACAATATAATTTTATGTGTAATTATCAACTAATAATTTCTTTAAACTGTTTAAAATATATAGTAACAATCAAAGATTAGTAGAGCATCTGATCTTGAATATGTGTAAAACACTCAAATTACCATGACATTTGGACAACCAGCAGTGAGAATGATTTGACAGTAATGGTTCATCCTTGTCAGCTTTGCTACTAGGAACTTAATAAGCATTCCTTGTCTTTGAAAAAAGCAATATGACACCAATATAGATACATTATTCCTTTCTATGAAATCTATAATTTTCTTCTTATACTACATTATCTATCACAGTTTATTATATTCTATGGAACATATTGATCACTTTGAAAAATACTCCAGTTGGTTATATTTTGATTAAAATGTGTTTTACACCTTCAAACACTAGAAGGATTATTCTTTATGGTTAATAAACATATCCAAACCCAGTTCCACTTTTTCTAAATTACTTCTATTTTCTCATTTCAGAAAATTAAATTATTCAAAAGATGGAATTATTTTCATTGTCTTGAATATCCTTATACATTTGTATTTAGAGAGGATGATCTAAAATTCAAATATTACTCATTCCCTTTTACAGTAATATACCTTTTTCTTTTTTTTCATTATTTTGGAAGCTTCACTCACTGGTATGGGAAAATCAAACTTTTTAGCTGCATCCTTCTGGATTAAACCTAATTTTTAAAAAGAAAGTGAAAAGGTCAAGACATATAAGGAGTCACTATCCCAAGAAACGAGACCACATAAATGTCTCTTGAGCTCTCTGGGGATTTTTACACTTGTTGGTATATTTCTGATCACTATAATATGCTAAAAACCACCAAGAAAACTAGAGATAAACAACCTTGTAGGTACCTAGGAAATCATCCCTCTAGTTCACTCTCCTTTCTTTTCTGATCTGTAAGGTGAATCTCAAAAAGGCTAACAACAGAATAAACAAATACAAAGAATCACATCTGGCTCCAGTATATCTCTACAGCCTCCATTCTTCTCAATTCAACTCCAGATATACATTATACTTCCAACTAGACAAAAAACCCTGTGGTTTCTCAAATGTGTCTTATTCTTACCCCTCTCAGCCTTTGCACATGCTGCTGTATCCAGCACCCACGTATGTGTACACACACGAACCTGCCAGGCAAATTTCTATCTGTTCTTCAAGACTCAGCTCACATGTCCCCTCCTCTCTATTGCCTTCTCTCAAACACACACAGCTCCAGACACAGCACTGGCTTAGAACACTTTCTTCATAGCACTTGGACAACTTTTATGTCATGTGTTTATAACGTGTTTCCTCCACTAGGCTCTGACCTCCTGGAGGGCAATGGCCATGTGTGTTTGTTCATCTTTCTATCCACACTACAAGACATACAGTAGTACTAATAAAGGTTTTCCAGAGTGAGTAAGCTTCCTGACCACTCACTAAACCACCCTGCCTTCCCAAATGTTAACTGTTAGAAGAAAAACTAAGGGCCTGTGGCCCAAATACATAATTATAAAACAACGAGCAAGCGCTCCCTGAAAACCTTTGTATTTGCTTTTATCTGGAACACTCCCAGTATCCAGGCCCTCCGTCCCTCATTCCTGCCCTATCATCACTCTATACTTCACTTTCTTCTACTCTTTCAATACTTCCAAGGGGCCTTCTCTGATCTTACAAAGTATCCTATGCTTGGTTATTGTGGGATTTATCACATTGTTTACTTGAAGAATGTGTTTTAATCTTCACTAGAGATATAGTATCTCATTCTATATATATTGTTTTCATTGAGGCTAGCTCCAGTGTATACCATGGATTTTGTCCTGATTTATGTTTCAAATTTTTCTCTAGTCCTTTTCCCACACATTCTGACTCAAACTATACTTCTAGTTCTGCCCTGATCACTGCCCATCACTAATCCACACTCAGTGCTTTGCTCACATTTTTTCCCCACATATGATTCCCTCCTATCTCAGCCCCATGTGCAAATCTCATGGAGTTTCCATCACCATGAAGCCTTCCCTGAGTCTCCCATTCCAAATTATTCATCACTTCCAAAGCATTCATTTGTGCCTCCACAATAGTATCTATTGTTCTCTATTATATATAAATTATGAATATATTTCCCAAGTTCTGTGTGGACAGGGAGCCAGCCTCATTTCTTAGTCTTGTTAGAAGAGTTGCCTGATTTGCCTGCCCCAGTATCTCTCAAATCCAGTACATTTTCCGAACAGTTTACATGTTCATCTTTCTGAAGTGCTCCTGTCTCTGATAACTTTACTCCACCATTAAAAAATCTTCACTGATGATAAAAATGACACTCTTCAAGGCATCCACAATCTGGTCTAAAATTTGTTTTTCATTCATTCAATAAATAATTAGTACATGCCCACTATGTGCTAGACACGGAGCTAATCACTCTCTTCCCTTTAAGCCACTCAGCACAATGAGTCAACCTTTACTGGGCATTTATTCTGTGCCAAATACTGTGCTAAGCACTCTGCATGCATTGGTTCATTTAATCTTGACAGCAAACCTTTAAAGTAGTAACGGCAGATAAGGACATTGAGAATCAGTGTTTAACTAACTGCTGATGACAGAGCCAAGATTACGTCTGACTTCAAAGCCTATACTCTTGATAATCTGTGCTGTCCAACTAGCAATTATCTATTCATGTTCCTTGATTCCTCTAAGCCTCTTCTCTCCCTGAACTTACTTATCAAAGCCCTTCTCAGGTCTCATTCTTACAGACACACCTACTAGTTTATATTCCCATTATTCATGTACAAGTCCCTTGAAAGCAGAATATTTATCTGATCCATCTGGGTCACTAGCACTTGACCTACAATATCATAGATGTTAAATAAATAGTTGTTGAATGGTTAAATAATTCACCTTTGTTCCCCATACAGGGCAGACATTTAATGAATGTTCTATAAATTATTCTAGAGTATAGAAAAGGAAAAATTCCTCATTTCTTTTATGAAGTAAATATAACTCTGATACCTAAACTAAAGAAGTACAAAGAAAGAAAACCTACACATCACTATCTCTCCTGAAATGCTGATGCAAAAACTGTATGCAAATTATTAGCATACAGAGTCCAACACTGCATTAAGAAAATAACACATTAAAACCAAGTGGGATTTACTCCAGGAATGCAAGGTTGGTTCAATAATGGGCAATTCATTTACATTATATTCCATATTGATAAATCTAAGGAAAAAAATGATCATCTCCATAGATCTGAGAAAGCCTTTGACAAAAGTCAACACCCATTCATGATAAAAACTCTAAAGAAAATATTTTAAATATATATGCCCTATTCCTAAAGCTAGTACCTTATTTAATGAGGAAACACTATAGGTATTTTCTTAAAGTCAGAAACAAGGTTCACTATCTCAAGATGCCCACTATCTCCACTACTATTCAACATTGTACTTGAGGTATTAGCAAATGCATTAGACAAATAAATATCTTGCAGGCATAGAAATGGGCAAAAAGGGAATAAAATTATCTCTATTTACAAATAACATATACCTAGAAAATCAATGATAAAAAAATTCAGTGATTTAATAAGATCTAAGTGCTTGCTTAGGGCTGGAGTTGTAGGTAAAGGAGGGTGGTGAGGGGGAATAGTGAGTGTATAGGAATGAGACGGGGTTTCTCTGTCTTTACTGCCTGGTAATGCATCTTTTTTCCTCTGCCTGCTTTTCAGATTTTCTTTTTGTCTTTGCTTCTGAGCAGTTTTATCATGAAGTGACTAGATGTAGTTTTCTTTGTATCTACTCTGCTTGGGCTTTCAGGTAAAAATAGTCTAAAATAGTGGTGATGACTGCACAACTGAGAATAGATAAAAACCATTGAATTATGGGTGGAAATTGGTGAATTATATGCATTGTGAAGTATAATTCAACTAAGCTTTTCTTTAAAAGCACAGGTGATGGAAATGTTATATATCTTGATTGTGGTGGTGGTTACTTGGATGTATACACTTGTCAAACCTCATCAAAATGTCTGTAAATTAATCCTCTATGAAGTTGATTTAAAAAAAAAAAATCAATGGGCTTGCGATACACAAACCGTGGGCAGAAGCACGCCAAGGCCCCCTCAGCGCGACTTAAGTGGCTCCTCTCAGACCTCGGGCTAATCTCAAGTGGCCTTCCTTTCCCTTCAGCCTCACCTCCCGAAGTGAGCTAAGGGCTTCCCACGCCACGCGCGGCGCGGCGGCAAGGGGCCGGCCACCCAGCGCCACCCAGCGCCACCCAGCGCCACCCAGCGCCACCCAGCGCCACCCAGCGCCACCCAGCGCCACCCAGCGCCACCCAGCGCCACCCAGCCACCACCTCCCGCCGCGGGCAAGATGGCCGCCGGCGCCAGCAGCGCTGACAGGAACCGCCGCCCGCCGCGCCCGCCCCCTCGCGCCACCTGCACGCGCCGCCTGCGCGCGGCCGCTCCGCGCCCTCGACGCCCGCCGCCGGGAGGAGGTGGAGGCCGCAGCCGCCGCGCCGGGGGCTGCAGGGACCCCAGCCCAGGAGCCGGGGGGCAGCTCGCCGGCGCCCGGGACTCCCGCCGCCACCGCCGCTGCTTCCTGCGGCTCCTCCTGGCTGCTGCGGGCTCCGAAGCCTGGGCACCAACGGCCCTTAGCCCGGTGGCCGCCCAGCTGCAAAACGCCGCCACACTGGTGTGAGCCGAAGCGGGTCACGTAGACGAAGCGCGCCGGGTCTTGCCCCTGCTCCCGGCCCGCCGCCGCCATCGCAGCGTGTCGCGCTAGTGCGGCGTCCCGGCCCTCGGCTCCCAGGCCCGCTGTGGGGAGGGGTCCCCGCCCACGGCGCGGGTGGGGGAGGGGTTGGGCAGCGGCGGTGTGGGGGTGGAGTGGGGGCGGGGAGGCCGCTGGGGGTGGGGCAGGGAGTGAGAGGCGGGGAGCGGTCGCCGTGTGCGCTGGGGGAAGAGAGGAGACGGGGATCCCTCAGCCGGGAGGTGGGAGGCCGAGGGGGGCTGAGGGAAGGGGTGCTTGGTCGCGGCGGGGATGGGCGACCACTCATGCAGAGAGTGGTGCGAGAGTCTGGGACCGCGCCGCTAGGGGCTGGGGAGCAGCCCAGGGGCGGCAGGCCCCTCCAGGAGGATATGAGCTAAACCAAGAAGACGGCGGGGAAGGGACCAGGTCACTGGGAGATGCTCCGCACGGTCGGGTGTGGCAGGACCGGACAGCGAGGAGCCCAGGCTGGACTCGGCCGCTGGAGCGTCACCTGATGAGGTTGGGAGCCAGCCTGGGGGAGAAGACAGAGCCTCCCTGCCAGAAGGTTCCTGCAGCGGCTTGGCCAGGCATGTGTTGGTGGTGGAGCCCTGGTCCCCAGAGACACCCTGCAGAGGGCACGTGGGTCTGAAGCCAGCGTCGTGCTCAGCCAGACCTTGGTGGCCAGCTGGCTCATTTCTGTGAGCCAGTTTCCGTCTCTGAGCCTCCAGTTTCCTCAAATGTAAACTCGGGATAAGTGGGTCGTGAGGACAAATCAAAATAAGACATATGACACATCTGGCACATAGTAAGAGGTAGTTCTCTTAGACTTATTTTTCATTTAACATTTATTCAGCACATATCCTGCGGGGTGCACATTGTAATTTCTTCACATTTAGCCTTTATATTAATAAATAGGTTTCCAATTGACCATCTCTTTAAATGTGGCAGAGGAGCTGGGTCCAAAAATGTGGAGTGACTTCCCCAAAGTAATAGACAATGGCAGAGACATATTTTTTTAAATAAACCTTTGTTATTGAATTATAAATATATGTAGGAAAGTGCACAAATCATCAGTATATAGATGGAAGAATTTTCACCCAGTGAATATACTCACATAGTATCTACCCAGTTCAAAGATGGTGCACTGCAGAAGCACCTCCTGTCCTTGCCCAGTCACCAACCCTTTCCCCTTTCCTGATTGCAAACATCATCAGACATCATTGTGTTTGACTTCTTTTACTCATTGTGTCAGTGAGATACATGTTATTGCATGAGTTTGCACATCATTTGAATATATGTCAATGTTTATTTGTCCATTTCACTATTGATAGACATTTGGTTTCCAATTTGGAGCCATTATTAAGAGTGTTGCTAGGAACGTTCTTATGCATATCTTTTGTGGAACGTATGTTGTGGGCTTTATACCTTAGTGTAGAATTGCTTAGGGCATGTTCAACTTTAGTTGCTGCTGACAGACAAGTATCTAAAATGGTTGTACCGATTTATACTTCCTCCAGCTAAGTATGAGGATTCCAGTTGCTACCCTTGTTCACCAACACTTGGCATTGTCAGTCTTCATTTTAGCCATTCTCATAGATGTCTCTGTTAGGGTTCTCCAGAGAAAGAGAGCCAATGTGTGTGTGTGCGCTCATGAGAGAGTAGGGTACACCAGCAAGCTAGAGACCTAGGAAAGAGATGATGCTGCAGAGTCAGTCTGAAGATCATCTGCTGGCAGAATTCCCCCTTCTTCAAATGAGTTCAGTCTTTTTCTTTCAGGCCTTCAACTGACTGAATGTGGCCTACACAAATTATATAGGGTAATATGTTTTACTCAAAGTCTACTGGCTTAAATATCAATCTCACATAAAAAAAAAAAAAACTTCATTGAAACACACATCACCATCTCATTTGGGTTGGCAACTGGCTCTTTGCTTTATCTTTTTGAAGAAGTCATGTTTCCTTGTTTGCTGTTGTTTCTTGTGGATACATGTCTGTGGCTTTGCATCAGAGGATTAGTTATTTGTTCCAGTCTTTGCTGTCTGGCTTGTTTTGGTCTTTCTAGGGTATGTATGTTTGCTTAGAGGTTCTTTGCAGTTCACCTGTTGAATCCCCTTTACACTAGGTCACTGTCTCCTTTTTGGCACTAGGTGGCGCCTTAAGCCCAGATTTACCTTGGATCTCGGAAGTATCGGAGTGCTGCGGGAGTGCTGCCTGTCCAGGATGGGGCAGAGTCCCGCAGGGGACCCGCCGAGCGTGCCTTCTACAGCGTGGTGCTGCTGAGCGGCTATTACCATAGTCTTCTTGTCCCCTGGGCTATTATCCCTTGTCTCCTGGGATAAAGAGCACAGTTTTGCCAACTGGGGTTGCTGGTCCTCTTTGTCTCAAGCCGCCCTCAGGGATTTTTCTCCCTTCAGGCACTCCTGGCCTTCCCGTGGGTTATGGCCGGAATGGTTTTCCTACGAAGGAAGCAAAGATGGTGGGAAAGCTGGCTGTCTGCTTCGATCTTGCCTTTGCTTTTTCCGGTGTAGAAACTGACATTCTGAGAGAATCTTCTGCACAGCATGGGAAGTGGCAGCTTGGAGCAGGGGCATCGTGGATATAGAAGTGTTTCCCTTACTGTCTAGTTGGAATTTCTTTTACTTCTCTGTGGCCCTGGTGATCATCTTAGCCTTGGATTTGAGTTCTGGAATATTGCTGGTGATAATCTTGGTGCTGGGTTTTGTTTTTGGTTTTCTGTGGGAAGGAGTGAAATCAGATTGCTTCTACTCTGCCATTTTGGTGACATCACTGTCTCAACTTTTATTCATCCTTATGTTTATGATCTCTGATGTAAGCAACATATAGATCTTTTTTGGTCATTCTATAGTATATTTTAAGCACCATGAGGCATTAATATTACTATTATTTTATACAGTCAATATTCATTTGGGTTGACTGACATATTTACCCTTTCCATTGATTTGTATTTGTTCTTATTGTATCTATGCTTTCAAATGCGATCGTTTTCCCTCTACCTGAAGGTTCACCTTTACTTTTTATGTTAGTGTGGTTCTACTGGTAGTGAATTCTCTTCATTTTGATCTGATATGTATTTTAAAACTGTATTTTAAAGGATACTTTGGCTGGGTATTAAATTCAAGGTTGCTAGCTGTTTTCTTTCAGCACTTTAAAAATATTCTGTTGTCGTCTAGTTTCTGGTATTTCTTTTGAGAAATCAGCCCTTATTCATATCACTGCCTTTTTCAAAGTAATGCATCTTTTGTCCTCTGCCTGTTTTTCAAATCTTCTTTTTGTCTTTGCTTTTCAGCAGTTTTACTGTGAAGTGACTAGGTGTGGTTGTCTTTGTATCTACTCTGCTTGGGCTTCATGGTACTTCTTTTTTTTTTTTAATTTTTTTTTATTATTATTTTGGCATATTATGGGGGTACAGATTTTAAGGTTTCAATAAATGCCCATTTTCCCCCCCTCACCCCAACAAGTCTGAGTCTCCAGCCATGACCCCGATCCAGATGGTGCACATCCTCACTCAGTTAAAATATGCTATATACATACCCGCCCCCTCCCTGCCCAATACCTATTACTGCAGTACCTATGTGACCACTTAGGTGCTGTTCAGTTAATACCAATTTTCTGGTGAGTATATGTGGTGCTTGTTTTTCCATTCTTGGGAAACTTCACTTAATAGTATGGGTTCCAGCTCTAACCAGGAAAACATAAGATGTGCTTATCAACCATTGTTTCTTAGAGCTTGAATAGTACTCCATGGTCATACCATTACCACATTTATTAATCTTCTTGGATTGATGGGCACTTTGGCTGTTTCCACAGCTTCGCAATTATGAAATTGTGCTGCTATAACATTCGAGTCAGGTGTCTTTTTTGTAGAGTGTCATTGGATCTTTGGGTAGATGCCCAGTCTGGGATTGCTGGATCAAATGGTAGATTCACTTGTATGGCTTTAAGGTATCTCCATATGCATTTCCCAGAGGTTGAAGTTAATTTGCAGTCCCACCAGCAAGTGTAGGAGTATAGATTTTTATTTCCATTTGATTTCTTCATTCATGAAGGTAATTTTTTAGTAGGGTTGTTTAATTTTCCACGATTTTTGTGTAGAAATGTGAAGTTTCTGTTGGATTAAGTTCTACTTTTTATCCCACTGTGATCTGAAGAAGGTACATGTATGGATTTCGTATATTTAAAATTTCTGAGATTTATCTTTGGTGTCCTAGGATATGGCAATCTAAGAATGTCCCGTGAGGCTGTGAGAAAGACATAATTCAGTGATTTTGGGTTAGAATGTCCTGTAGACCTGTCAGTCAGACCCAGTTGTTCAAGTTTTGTTTTAAGTCCATTAATTTTTTATTAATTTTCTGTTTGGAGGATCTGTCTGTGCCGCTCAGTGGGGTGTTGAAATCTCCGGTGATTATGGAGTTGCTCATTAATCCATTGCTTAGACTCAGTAGGTTTGCTTTATGAATCGGTGCACCTAAGTTGGGTGCGATATATATTTAAAATTATTATCTTTCTTGTTGAAGTGTCCCCTTCAACCATTGTATATGATCCTCTTTTGTCTTTCACACTTTTGTTGCTTAAAAACTAAATCGTCTGAAATTAGAACTGCCACGTCAGCCTTCTTTTGGCTTCCACTTGCCTAGAATAATCTGATCTCTACCCTTTTTACTTTTAGTCTATATGCATCCTTGCAGGTAAGATTGTTTCCTGAAGACAGCATATACTTGCCTGTATTTTCTATACCATTCACCCAGCTATTCTCTTGATGAGAGTTTAAGCCATTCACATTTATTGAGAGAACTGATAGGTAAGGTAGATTACTGTTCATTCTGTTGGGTTGGATGTTGAAGCTTTGATTTCTCTCTTGAGCCATTGTATTATCTGGCCTTTAATCTTTGGGTTTTGGTTGTTTTTATATTCGTGAGTTTTTATTATGGGGTTCTGTGTGTAACACTGTTTGAGTACTTCTTGTAGGGCTGGTCTTGTCTTGGTGAATTTCTGAGACTTTGCCTTGTCTGAGAATGTCTTATATTTTCCTTCATATATGAACTTAGTTTGCAGGGAATAAG